AATAATAATAATAATAATTGTCCATGATATGTCCTGAAATTACACACATTTGCATAAATATAATATTCAAGTACATTATATTTTAAATACTAGTATATTAGGGCCCGGTCCAGCAGAAGTAAACAGCAAGGCCAAAAATTCAAGTTAATGCATCTGATATAAAAATGTATTGAACAGATACATATGTACTCTAGTTTATGAAACTGTTGACCTTTTTTCTGTACCATTTTTGGTTCTAAAGTTCCATATGTTTTAAACAGACCATGTATGAAACATGGAACAAAAATTATTTCTCAAATTTCAAAGACCTGCAAATCATGTAAATAAATGGATGTATTTCATCATATCTTGTGTTATTCCATCTTTGAACTGTTGATTAAGGTACATGATTTTTCCAAAAAAAAAAAAAAAAGTATTTAAAATGAAAAAAATTTGCTTGGAAGGACTGACATATTTTTATAGACCTTTCATTTTGAAGTAATATTAAAGTATTCAGAAGAAAAAAGCGACAAATGATGTAAAATCCTGCACCTTCTACTTGCTTAAACAATTTTCCCTCTGTTACTTTTCCCTACGTTACCATGACCTTTCTTAATAAAACATCTCATGAGTCAAAAAGTAAGAGGTTTTTCAACCTAATCTTGTACCATATGGTAGAAAACTATATGAAGCAAATATTCAAACCAGTTTGTTAAGGATATGGAAGTGAGAACCAAGAGTTATCACTGTTTGGATTTATTGCCCAAAAAGTGCTGCATATTTCATTCCTTCCGTTACCGACATGAGTTTTTACATTTTTTGTGAACAACTTGAAAGAATATCACAGGTTTAACTTGACCCTGTTGGAGTGTTAACTCTTTCCTACATTCTGATACTTTACTTATTTCAATAGTCCCTCTAGTTTCTGAATAAGAGCTATTTGAATGTAAAAAATCTGCCCGTTTCCCTCCGTTACCACTTGACCAGACCCATTATTATGGACTCGTATGTATGTAATGTAATTCAAAAAATTTTCCAAACAGTGATTTGTTGTTTGCTGAATCTCTGTTACTCATGTTAGACCTGTAGACTGTATATACATGGTCAGAGCTCACATGCTACCCACTTAGACCCACCTCATAGGAAGTTCACATGTGGCTCCTCTGGCTCCTACTGACTCTGGCTCCCATTGTCAAACACTGGAATACTGTGGCCCCTCTTTCTGTAACTGCTTTACCCGCTCGACATGATCCTGGTGTTTTTGTCCATTAAAAATCCTTTTTCATAATATAAAGCCTGGCTCCAAATTTGCTTTCTGTAAAAGTTAGCATCAGGAGTTTCATTTGACTGGAGCCAAACGCTGTGGGTGACTCACTTAGTCCACTTTTTTTACACAGTTTATGGTTAGACTTTAATCTGACCACAAAGGACTGGCCTAGTTGGAGCTGTAACAGGTGAGATGATTTGTGCTCTTTAACAAGTCTCACACATAAAATTACAGACATTAGCCAACAGTTTTTCAGTGAGTCACTCTCACCTTTGAAAATCAAACTCCCAAACGGCTTAATGAACTCTCATGTTGATCCCGGGCTACAGACTGATCACGATAATATCTAAAGGCCTTATATTGTATGATAATATAATCAAAGCAATACAAAAGCATAGCCCAGTACATTTCAAAATGTACAAAGTGTCCTGAATCAGTGAGTGTTTAAAGCTCTGAGGGCCTATGAGAGGTTGGACTATTCATTTTACTAAAACACATTTATGTTCATTATATTTATGATTTTACGAGAAAATTACATTTTTCCCACTTTGTCAATTTTTTAGGTTTCAAATTGAATCATGACATTAGGCCAGGGAATTCCATAACTGTTACCTAGCAACTATGTCGTACACTGGGCCAAATCTGCTCCAGATATTATTATCTGAGAAACAAATATACAAGAAAACACCTTTATTTTCTTGAAATAATGTTTCAAATTCTCCCTGGCGTGATGTAGTCAATAAATTAGAACTCTCTACTTCCTGTCATTTTCAACATATTTTTAAAGTTTCTTCACAAATTCTCGATTGGAATAAAACTATCATTTATATTTATGACAGATATAATCCAACCAAATTAAGAACAAAAAATGTGAATCATCAAAACTTGGCATATACACTGAAAGGTCCTACTTGAGTTCAGTGAAATAAAGAAGGGCAAGGCCATTAAAGGATTTAAAAACAAAAAGTCACATTTAAAATCAGTTCTAAAGAAAGTGAAGCCAGTGTAATGATAAAAGCGGTGTGGTGATGTGCTGACGTCTGAGTGTTGGTTCAGAACGACTGGAGTGCTGAGCTGGAGCTGGAGGAGACTGAGGGCAGACTGCAGACATAAAGTGCATTACAATGCTCTATTCTGGGGCTGATAAAAGCATGAGGACTTCTGTCAAGGACACTGTGATTCAAAAAAGGCTTTACTTTAGATCAAAATACACAAGTGATATAAAACCTGCTCAGCCAGCCAACAGACCAGCTGTCAGATTGTCAAGATGACCATGGTTCTTTACAGCCACTGTTAACTTACAATAATTATAATAATATAATTACAATAAGTAATTCAGTTTTGTCCTCATTAAACAGAACCAGCCAATATCACTGTGCACTTTCAACAGTGCCGACTCTCGGATGTGCTGAGAAAATAGAACAATTTCTCTACAACAATTTCTTCTTCTTCTTCTTCTAAAAAAAAAAAAAAAAATCTACAGGTGTAAACTTAGACAGAACATTGGTATATGAGTGTGTTTTGTTTTGTTTTTGTTTTTTTAATACGAGGTCTCACTACAGCATATATACTACATAATATGTGTAAATTAGTGTTTATACAAATTTTGTCTCTAATCACTGCCTCAGATTACTCTAAACACTTGTACACATGATAATATTTACTAATAGGGATGGGTAATATATTGGTTTCAGTATTGGCTTTGGTCGATATTACCATTCCACACCACCCATCCATTTTCTTCCTCTTACCTGAGGCCGGGTCAGGGCAGCAGTTTAAGCAGGGACTCCCAGATTTCCTTCACCTAATTCAATACTAATATATACATATATATTGACTAGACTAAAGGTTCGTTCAGACTGGAGTGTCAAAAAAAGCACTGGATGCGTCAAGTTGGACACCTTTGCATTTGAGTTTAGATGCCCCCAGTCTGACGTGCATCCAAGAAAAATACTTGACACGCATCCAGGACGTCCGTTGCCCTGGAAACAAGTGCCGTTTCCCGGTCTTTCCCCTGAACGATGGCAGACCAGGCTGAGAGAGTGACTTTAGTGTATTTATTGCATAAAGCCATCACAGGCGTGTATATATTTGTACTCCACTAATGACACTCGTTTAGTCCTGGTTTAGTCCTGGTCCAGTCTAGTCCAGTCCTGGTCCAGTCCTGGTCCAGTCCGGTCCAGTCCTGGTTTAGTCCTGGTCCAGTCCTGGTGTAGTCCTGGTGATTGGCTCGGAGGTTGCAGTGTGTATATATTTATAATCCACTGATGACACAGCATAAATTTCTTGTTCTGGTGTTTGTGGCTCCTCTCTCCGCGTCCAACACTAAAAGTTCAGCATTTTCAACTTCTGATGCCAACACCCTGAATGTGCGTCTAGAGCATTGTTACTTGAACGTTCAAGACGCTCTGTGTCTATGCCAAATTCGCACCATGCTGACGCCTGAAGATGCGCCACAAAAACACAGGACACCCCAGACGTGCGTCCACATAGACTCTGCGTGTGAACTAGACGCCTTGACGCCCCAGTCTGAATGCACTATAATGATTAAAGGTCCTATATTACGCACCACAGACTCTTGTGAGCTTTAAGCTTTGTTAGAACATTACCTCCTCAAAAACAGACCTGCACTTGTGTTTTGTTTCATTCACACATGTTTTAGTAATCCTGCATTATTACTCTGCCACCCGCACACACCCATGCAGTACAGCACCACAACCGCCAATTTACCCATGATTATATCAAAGTTACATCCTGGACCCATTAACATTCCACCCGTTACCCGCCCGGGGTCAGCCCATGAGTCCAACAGCCAGGACTAAATCAGGACTAAACCAGGACTAAACCAGGACTAAAGCAGAACTAAACCAACAGCGTGTCAGTGGATTATAAATATATACACGCCGCAACCATAGAGCCGATCACCAGGACTACACCAGGTCTAAACCAGGACTAAACTAGGACTGAACCAGGTCTAAACCAGGACTAAACCAGTGTCATTAGCATAAACATATACACACTGAAACCACCGAACTGATCGCCATGACTACACAAAGACTGGAACAGTACTAAATCAGGACTAAACCAGTACTGAACCAAGACTTCTCCAGGAGTCTAAACCAGGAGCGCAGCTGCTGAGCCGATCGCCTCCACTGATGGTTTCATGTAATAAACGCACTAAACACACACTCTGCCATCGTTCCGGGCACAGACCGGGAAATGGCTCTTGTTTCCAGGGTGCGTCAAGTATTTTTTCCTGTTCGTCGTTCATTTGATTCACCTGACCCGCCCATAAGATAAGGTACCCGACCCGGTGTAGGACTCTGACTCTGACATCTCCAAACCTCAAAATGCTCTGTCCCACTTTGTGATATCATGTAGTGGTAATTTTCAAGTGAACAGCTACATGTTGTTTTGTAGAGACTAATGATTCCAGGTCTGAAATTATCCAAAGTATTCTAGTGAAGGTGTTTAGAGTTTAAAAACACAGTGGATCACATAACCCCATGACATCACAAGGTGGGACAGAGTGTTCTTTGTAGTAGAGAACACAGCCTAAATATGCAGGAACATTTAACTGAAACAAAACACAACTCCAAGTATGATTTTGATGGGGAAAACATTGTAAGATAGTTCCGAAAATGGCGTAATATAGTTTTTGGGTTTTTTTTCCCCCCACAGTCCTGCATTGAAATCATATGTGAGCCAACATTCTAGAACAGTCTCCCCCCCCATGCAGGTTGGAGTGTGGTACCTGTGCAGAGGTGGAGTTGAGCTTCTGCAGCCCGTTCTCCAAACGCTCCATCTTGGCTTTCAGCTCGCAGCTCTTCTGTCCCAGCAGGCTCCGGTAGAGCTTGATCTGCTCCAGGAAGGACTTGGGCGTGGTGTAGTTGTAGCGCCTCTCGGTGGCCAGGTACTGTTTGGACGTGTGGTTGACGCTGGTGTGAACGAAGGCCATGAATTTGCTCACCGACTCCTTCACTGCGGGCTGGAAAAAGAACCACTTTAATGTTTGTTCCTATAAATTCTATAAAAAAATGTCTGAAATGTCACAAAAATATATACTACACACAAATATATGCACCTCCATGTGTTGTGTGTTCATATGTGTAATCATTTCTGAATAACAAGCACAAACACTGGAACTTTTCTGGTACAGGGTTCACACCACCTGACTGTTTCCATGGAGATTTTATTGTGTAGCCTGAAATGTCCCTCACGTCTATCCGGCATTTATGAAGTGAGTTTAGAGCGGAGAGCAGTGTGGAGATGCAAATGTCTGATGCCATAGTGGACGCCCCAAGCATATGTTATCTATCATCTTGTGCCTTTTCTTTTTTCTTTTTCAGTTTACTATTTTATGTTAATCAAAGGAAAATATAATGAATCTACAATGTAACACTTACTACAAATTATATACTAATAAACAAAGATATACAGCATTCCATTTGTCTTTCAATTTCACTTGATAAGTCCCGATTAAAAAAAAAGCATTTTAGGATCCTGAGGTGAATGAAAAATATCAAATGAAAAACAATCAGAGAACCATATAGCAGACACAAGCACAAAAGGTCCGCTTTAATCAATGTTGTGTTTTATTTTGTTGGTGTGAAAATATAAATGATCAAAAAAAAAAAAAACAGTGAAAGAGCATAAAGAAGTGAAGAGACCTGTACTCACTGCTCAAAGAGACACGGTGGATCAGTGGATGTGGCAGACGTTTTATGTTGCTGACATTTAGATGTCAACAACATAACTCTGCAGCCTGGGGTCACCAGACGTCCCCAAGAATTCAGGACAGTTCCGAAATCTAAGGCTATGTTCAGACTGCAGGGCTTAATGCTCAATTCAGATTTTTTTATGAAATTCGTTTTTTAAGAGGTCATTCACATTTCCATTTAAATGTTGTGTTTTGATAATTGTAAGTGATCTCCAGTGTGAACTTTAAACGTCAAAAGTGTCCAGCATGACTATGACACGAGTGTGTTTAGTGCAGGGGTGCTCAATACGTCGATCGCGATCTACCAGTCGATCGCCAAGGTCGTGTGGGTAGATCGCTGTGTCTCATCTCGGACTCGTGTTTGGACTCGGTCTTGTCTCTCACTCAAGATCTGACACTCAACAAGTGTGATCATATTTCATTACGGCCGCTGCTGTTGGTAATAAACTCGTAGCGGGGTGCAGGAGTGTGTGGGGCGTCTCAGTGCAGCCTGTGCGCTCATTTGAAACCCGCGGAGACTCTACGGCACATCACAAACACACACGCTCCCTATGCACGGCTCGTCTGCAACAGCGTGTGCCCTCGTGTACCAGCGTGCATCACAGGGCAGGTTCAACTTCCTAAACATCCTACCTGTCCATCTGCCTCACGTCAGCACGCCGCCCCTCGCCTTTTCACGCTCTCGCTCCTTCCTGCGTACAGCGAACACAAGCCCCTCCCACAGTGCGGCTGATTAGAAGAGCAAGACCAAACGTGAAGCAAAAACCAGTCTAAATTTGTGTTCCAGTGTTGGCACAAAGCAGGTCTACAGCATAGAGCGGATCTACAGAACAGACCTACTGCCACATTTGGCTGAAGTTTGTTTAACAAAAGTGCACAAATGCATCTGTGTTTGTCACGATGTGCGTTTGGTTTGGTAAATGTGCAGAGGCAGTAAATATCACTGCAAAACCAGAAAAGAATGTAACTCCAGTTTGGAACTTTAAAAAACAGGTTTAAAAATTCCTTCACTTTTTTCACAGTTTTGTGTAAAGTGCCAGAGGAAGTTCTCTTAAAGAAGAGGTTCTCAAACTGTGGATGAGGGTCCAAAAAAGGGGCACAGAGTGTTTCAGTTCAGTTTGCTTGGCTTTGTATTAGGTAGATCATTATGACTTGGTCATTTTGTAAGTAGCTCACATGGTGAAAAAGTGTGAGTTTAGAGCTTCTGGAGGTTGCCTAAACGCTGGGCTTGTCTCCCAAAATACGGCCCAGTTCTTGGCAAAATGGACAGATTACGCATCCACGGCCACTTCGTTTGTTTGAGTTTTTAGCCTCCTTGTATTTGGCTCTCACACTCTTTTTTTTTTTTCTTTCGTTGACATTGGAGACAGGACCGCTTGTAGCTGTGCTCAGACATTTCTTTGGCAATCATTTCAAAAACCGCCCAGTTCCGATAAGACTCCTCCAATTTGTCCTGAATACAACGATACCCCAAAATATGAATGAACTCCCTAACATCACTTTTCCTCCATTGACGAGACTCCGAGCCTGACGTGTAGGTGGGATGAACGCGACCTGCCCGTTCAGACTGAAGTCGCATGTCAAAAGATCAGATATGTATCAGTTTTAAGAGCACATATCCAAATGGTCTGGGTCACATTTGAAAAACTCAGATCTGTGTGGTTCAGACTGTCATTAAAAGATCAGATACAGGAACATAGGGGCCAAAAAATCGGACTTGGTCACTTCAGGCTGCAGTCTGAACGTAGCCTAAGCGGTTGTCTTGAATCCTGAATCCGGCCCTAAACGTCCGGCTAACAGAGAAGTTGAGTCGACTGCACACAGCCCCTTATGGCTTCTAGACATTCGCCTTGGTTGCCTCCTACCTTTTAACACGGAAGAGCGTCTGACTGAAGGTGCAGACATTTACATTTTGTTCTTTCTTGCATTTTGAGTGTAAACAAAATAATTTATTAAAACTCAATGCTTTTATAAGTTAATATAATTTTTGTTTGTTTGTAAAGAAAACCAACTTAGAATGCATCAACATTTCTGAGCCTACACTGTGTCCCTTCCCACCCCAACCCCATCCTGAATTTCAGCCAATCTCATCTGGTCACTCTACTGGAGCCACTTTAGATTATCTCACCTGAATGCTGTCCAGATCCTGTAGGAACCTGAGGCTGACCGACTCCAGGGCCTCTTGGGGCCACTCGTGGAACCAGTCGATGGCCGTGCAGTTGACCACAGCGGGGAACTTTCGTCCACGCACACGGAGCTTACTGCCCACCGGGGAAAAACACAGTGCCACCTGCAGTACACACACATAACACCATTCTGTATGAAACACATTACATATCCACAGTGTTTAAAGGTGCACTGTCATTTTTCTTTTCTTTTTTTTTTTGGCTTTAAATCTCCATCACGGAGCGATATTTAGTTTTGACAGACCTGCTGCATAAACAATACACATGAAGCTTTATTTGAACTCTTTAGTGCAAAAAACATAAGATATGTGATAAAGAAAGTGCTGTGTGTGAGTGTCTATTAAATTTGAATATCAGAATCTTCCATTTATATCAGCCCAAAAATATTGGCAGAGCTTATCAGCCATTGGTTTGGCTGGATTCTAAACGACTGGTATCGTTATGAAAAACCCGTATCTCAATCCATCGATCTCTAATGATAATCACGTGTCATCGTGCCATCCTTAGAGAAGACAGTGGCTCCAGTGGGCCCTGGAATCTCGGATGGGACCTGGTGCCTTGAAAGGAACCTGGAGTCTCGGATGGGCCCTGGTTTGTCGGATTGGTCCTAGTGTCTCGGATGGGCCCTGGAGTCTTGGACGGGCCCTGGAGTCTTGGACGGGCCCTGGTTTGTCAAATTGGCCCTTGAGTCTCGGATTGGTCCTAGTGTCTCGGACGGGCCCTGGTGTCTCGGATTGGTCCTAGTGTCTCGGACGGGCCCTGGTGTCTCGGATTGGTCCTAGTGTCTCGGATGGGCTCTGGAGTCTTGGACAGGCCCTGGAGTGTCAGATGGGCCCTGGTTTGTCAAATTGGCCCTTGAGTCTCGGATTGGTCCTAGTGTCTCGGATGGGCCCTGGAGTCTGGAACACGGTCAGGAGGGGACTGGAGGAGTAAGGATTGATCACGTGCTCTTCCATCATTAAGCACATGGAGCCTGGAGAGGCAGTGAGTGAAGGAGAGGGGCTGGATGCACATCTGCTCAGACAGATGCTCCAGCAGGAAACAGACACACGCAAACACTGACAAGGAGAAGAGCCGCCCGGGGTCCAACTACTCCCACTCTCCATCACTTTTACTCTGAGTTGGCCAAGAGTTAGCTCCTGTTTACTGGAGCTATGGGGAAGGGCAATAAAGAAAAAGCATGTGTACTGCTGGGCTGTCAGAAGGGTCCAAAATCATATACTAAGCAATACTAAAACTAATGTAGTATTGAAACGAGATACTCATTTGAGCAGGTATCAATACTAAAAAAAGTGACATACACAGGGTAGAAATGAACCTTTCCTGAATGTCTTTAGAAAGATTATGAGCTGTATCAGAACAAGTTTAAGAGCACATAGATGAGTATAAGCCCATGGACCACTATGGAATAGGGCTGTAACTAAAATATCGTGATAGCGTATCGTCAAAAGTCTCACAATAATACAATGGGCCATCAAAATATATCGAATTAGAAGTTTCTTTGCTTAAAATCATTGTTATGGTGCAAGAACAGATAGAACTACATATACCATGATCCTTTGCTCAGTTTCAGTCCAATTTATATGATGAAATAGCTGTTGTTAAGCCCTTTTAAATCTTAATTATTTGGATTATAACGGAAAAGTAGCATATTGACAATTTTATAAGCTTCCACAAAATATTGCAATAAATATCGTACCGTGAGATGCATATCCTTAAAATATCATATCGAGAGATTTGGATATCGTTACAGCCCAACTATGGAACCTACTGGACCACTGAGGATTACACAAATATAAGACCACATGAGAATAGAAAAGAAAATTCTACTATTTAATGTTGGAAATCACATTCTATTGTCTAAAGACTGTTTTCATGATCATTGTGGTATCAGAATCGGTATTGAGTATTGGGTCTATTCCTTAGTATCAAAATATCTCTAATTCTTAAGTGTTTCATCCTGCATGAAACAGGAAGACCACTGTTAGCATTACTGTGATAGCAAAACTGCAATCTGGCCTCTGAAGGTTGAGAAAAGTGCTTATAAACTCATGGGGCTGAACAGTTCTGGTGCTCTGAGTGCATAAGGTGAGTGAGGAAGAAGTTTGGACCTTTGCAAACTGTTTATAATAAAGTTTTGTTTCATTCACACATGTTTGAGTGACTGGAGTGGCAAGCACTCATGCCTCACAGCAAGTAGGTTCCAGGTTTAGTCCCCTAATGTGGAGTTTGCATGTTCTCCCCATGTCTGGGCAGGTTTTCTCCGGGTACTCCACTTTCTCCCATCAACCCAAAAAACATGCACCATAGTTTAATTCAAGGGTGTCCAAACTTTTTTCCATCAAGGTCCATGTATCTAAACACAGACGAGGGCCAGAGACTGGTGCTCAGTACACTGAATAATAAAACTATGTGCATTTTTAACATGTTAGAATGAACCATCAGTTTTTATTTATGTTAAGATCCTCAAAACCACACACTAAATATTAAATATTTGCTTTATCAAGGTAGATGTTCGAAAAACTTAGCAGTAAAAAGTTAATTTTTAATTGTTTCAAGGTAATTTGGGCCAATTCACCTAGAAGCCTGAGGGACAAGAAACATTTGTCTGAGGGCCGCATTTGGCTCATGAGCCATAGTTTGGACATGCCTGTTTTAATTCCTCCAGCTGAGGTCCTGACCAGCAACAAGATCATGGAGCTGGGTTCCCGGGTGCCCACTGTGCTGCCCACTGCTCCTGAAAGGATGGGTGAAACGCAGAGGATTTCCCTACAGGGATTAAAAAAACCCAAAAAAAACTACAAAATATATATTAGTCTGCATCTTCAAAGCTCAAAATGCTCTGTTCCACCTTGTGATGTCATTCATTGGTAGTTTTATAGTTAACAGCTACTTAAGCCTAAATTGAAATGATTTACTTTACAATCCTCTAGAGCTTCAAACTTTTTTCTCCACTGAGCCTTTACAAAACAAAAATGCCAGAGTGCTAATGATTTCAGCAGTCACAAAGAAACTGAGTGAATATAAGAGTCACGGTGAGTCTTAGATTGGAAACAGTTAGACATAACATAAACCATTATCCATTTATCAATGCACCAAGTTAGGCATCAAAATGATACATTTACAATAGTAATTCATCAAATTGTCCTTATTATGAGATTGTCAATAGAAAGTGCACTGAGGAGTGAAGCAGTTTCAATGAGGCTAAAACAACCTTCGAGTTAGGCAAATCCAAAGGCTGAAAATATCCAAATGATTCTAGTGAAGGTGTATGGAGTTTAACCCTAAGACTTAAGGGTAATTTTAGTACATTTGTCCTCGCCTGGATTATTTTCTTAGTTTTACTATTAAAACTGCCCCTTTTATCCCCTAATGAAGTGTTATGAATCCTTTCTTTTCATCACAACCTGTTATTTCACAATCTGCTGCTGTAGTTCTGTCATATGGCTGTAATAAAAAACTCCAGGACCAGAAATACACACACACACACACAAAATAATAATAATAATAAAATAAAATCCACACTCTTTCACACAAAACACACAGCAAACATGTAAAAAGAAATTTTTGAACATAAAAAAATGCTTAATTGATGGCCTTAGCTACAAAAGTGCAAAATATCAAGTCTGTAAGTAAAGTCAAAATACCCCCCCCAAACACATTTGGACATTCTGACTGAAATAAACCTGAAACTAAAACAGCAAGGGATGCACAATTACACAGACAAACGTGCGATTTATTTGAGAAATAAGTGCACTTAGAGCAACTTTTTCAATTGTTCCGAACACATGACGCTCAGAGCATCGACCATTTTGACTCACAACACTCTTTGGCAAAGTTTGGCCCAATCAAAATGGACGGAGCACACAAGTTTGGCGGAAAACAGCACCATGCAGTGTGTGTGTCACGTAGGATGATGCCAGAAATATGCTCGAAAAGCCAAAACTGTCAGCTTTTAAAAGCAAGTTTCTGTCTTTTATGGTTGTGTTATGCTCGGTTGTATAAAACATATTCCCAGTTATCCTGTACGATACCGTCAGTCTGGAAGAGTTAAAACACTGTGGAGCGCTTCCCGTATTACCACATGATATCACAAGGTGGAATGGTGCTTTCAGTTTGAGAGAAGAACTCAGCTGAAATGTGCAGGGTTAGTGTGTTAAACATGTGTGAATGAAACAAAACACAACTGCAGGTGTGTGTGTGATGAGGAAACCACATTAGAACACAGGTCAGAAAAGAGCATTCTGTGGGCCCTTTGAACTATACGTCTCCCTCTACCTTTGGTGCAGCAGTAACTCAACAACTGCAGCCAATTACCCACGAGCCAGAGGGTTGACGGATGAATCCTTTAGCAGCAGTTGTGTCCCCAGGCAAAACACTTCGCCTAGTTTCAGAGTTTGGCTGTGGTGAATACGTGCATGCATGTGTGTGTGTTTGTGAGTGTGTTTGTGAGTGTTTGGTGGTGGCTAAAGAAGTATGGCTGCCACATCCCCATCTGTATGCCCCAGGCGCCTCTGGCAACAAATGTACACTGTCAGAGATCAAATGGTGGTACTCAGTCTCATAAACCAAAAGCAGGACTAAACTAAACACGCTGGGTGCTGTGCCGTAAGAATCAGGTTCTTTAGACCGCAGCGGGTTTTCAGTCTCACGCTGATTCTCAACTCTGGCACGATGCTGAATGTCTCTCCCTACTCTTCACCCCTTTTTATATGAATTAGTGATGGGAGACATCAGTTCCACTATCATTGTCAGTTTGAATATTTCTCAATTGTCTGAGTGCACTTTCTGAACTTTCTGAATTTTTTGGTTCTCGACCAGCAAAAAGTGTCTTGCCCTCTCCGGGTGGGTGAAGAGTCTCAAGTGCCTCAAGTGGAGGAGATCAAGTATGTCGGGGTCGTGTTCATGAGTGAGGCGAGGATGGAGGAAGGATTACCTCAGTTTAAGGAATTTAAAAGCTAAATATCTGCAAAAATTGGTCATTGTCCTCTAGCCTGATTCATCAGCTGGTTTCACTTCATACAAACCGTCTGACCTCGCAGCGTTAAGAGTGAAGTATAGTTCTGCGGTGACTCAATGCGCACTGCCGCCGTCGCCTTGTTGC